GTTAGTCAGCTTTGTGTTGTTATAAAGGAATACCTGAGACTGGTAATTTATTTTAAAAAGAGGCGGGCTGGGCGTGGTGGCTCAAGCCTGTAATCCCAGCACTTTGGGAGGCCGAGGCGGGTGGATCACAAGGTTAAGTGATCAAGACCATCCTGGTCAACATGGTGAAACCCCGTCTCTACTAAAAATGCAAAAAATTAGCTGAGCATGGTGGCGCGTGCCTGTAATCCCAGCTACTCAGGAGGCTGAGGAAGGAGAATTGCCTGAACCTAGGAGGCAGAGGTTGCGGTGAGCCGAGATCATGCCATTGTACTCCAGACTGGGTAACAAGAGCAAAACTCCATCTCAAAAAAAAAAAAAAAAAAAAGAGGTGTATTTCGGCTCATGGTTCTGCAGGCTGCACATGAAGCATAGTGCAGGCACCTGCTTCTGGTGAGGGCCTCAGGAAGCTTACAGTCATGGTGAAAGGCGAAAAGGGAGCCAGCGCATCACATGGTGAAAGAAAGGAGGAGGTGTCAGGCTCTTTTAAACAACCTGCTCTCGCATGAACTCATTACAGTGGGAGGGCACCCAGCCCTTCATGAGGAGCCGCCTCCATGACCCAAACATCTCCCACCAGGCCCCAACTCCAACATTGGAGATCACATTTCAACATCAGATTTGGAGAGGACAAATATTCAAACCATAACAACATATGATAAAATTTTATAGAATAAACATACGTTTAATATATAACACACAACAAGAAATGAGTTTATGTAAAAGATGATGAAATCCCGTAAGATCCTGCCTCAGCCTCCCAAAATGCTGGGATTACAGGCATGAGCCACTGGCCCTGGGCAGCTTTTTTTTTTTTTCCAGACAGGGTCGCACTCTGTCACCCAAGCTGGAGTGCAGTAACATGGTCACAGCTCACTGCAGTCTCGACCTCCCTGGGCTCAGGTGATCCTCCAACCTCAGTCTCCCAAATACCTGGGACTCCCAAATACCAGGTACCCACCGCCATGTCCAGCTAATTTTTGTATTTTTTTGAGAGATGGAATTTTACCATGTTGCCCAGTCTGGCCTCAAACTCCTGGGCTCAAGTGATCTGTCTGCATTGGCCTCCCAAAGTGCTGAGATTACCGGCGGGAGCTGCCATACTTGGCGGTTTTTTTTTTTCTTCTTCTTCTTTTAATTGCCAAAAAATTCAGATTCAAGCCTAGTAAATAAAGTTTTGGCCAAAAAAAAAATTTTTTTTCAGTAAGATCTGAGTGTAGTTAATTGTAGTATGCCAGTGTCAATTTCCTAACTTGTATAATGTACTATAGTTTTTGGAGCTTCTTTTTGTTGCTGTTATTTACTTTTCTTTTACTCCTCCAGAGCCTTTTCCATGGATAATGTACTATAGTTTAAGATGTTACCATTGGGGGAAGCTGGAAGAACACAAGCAACTCACTGTACTAGTTTTGCTACTTATTGTGAGTCTTATGGTGAAGTCAAGATAAAAAGTAATCCTGTAATCCAGCACTTTGGAAGGCTGAGGTGGGAGGATCCCATGACTCCAGGAGCTCAAGACCAGCTTGGGCGACATGGTGAAACCCATCTGTACACAAAACACAAAAATTAGCCAGTCATGGTGGCACACGCCTGTAGTCCCAAGCTACTCAAGAGGCTGAGGTAGGAGGATGACTTGAATCTGGGAAGAAGAGGTTGCAATGAGCTGAGATCACACCACTGCACTCCAGCCTGGGTGACAGAATAAGAGTGTCTAAAAAAAAAAGTGTAAAAGTCAAAAAAAAGGACATTATTTATTCAATAAATATTTAATGCCCTGGTATACAGAGATAAGAGACCCATAGAGGAATGGGTGTGTTGGAAGGAAAGACCCAAGCAAACCAACAGTGGGATACACTCTTTGAAAGCAATATGGTAGAGATCCAAGATGGCTGATCTCTAACAGTTCAGGATTGTAGCTCCCAGTGAAAGTGCAGAGAACGAGAGGATGCCACACTTTCAGACGAACTTTCATCACTCACGGACCAGAAGATTCTCAGCAGAGGGGCCCCACGGGTCGCCAGCGCGATTCTTATGGCCAGCACAGCGGTTTTGCCGGCACCTCGTCGCAGCAGCTCTTCGTGCAGAGTTAACGGGAGGAGATTCCCGGGCAGAAGAGCACCATCAGTCTTATAGCTGCTGTTTTGGCCCGTGCAGTGGGTTGCTCGGATTCCAGTGCTGGGAATCAATAAACTGGGCGTCCACTCAGAAACCCAACGAGAAAGGCGGTAATTGTAAAGACGACAGATGAATAAATTTATAACAAAGGGAAGAAACCAGCCTAAAAAGGCTGAGAATACCCATAATCAGAACCCCTCTCCCTCTACAGGGGATTACAGTTCCTCATCAGCAACGGAACAAGCCCTGATGGAAAAGGACTGTGTGCCATTAACAAAAGTGGGCTTCAGAAGGTGGATGATAAGAAACTTCTGGGAGTTAAAAGAACTTGTTCTAACCCAATGTAAAGAAACTAAGAACTTTGAAAAAAGGTTTGATGAAATGCTAACAAGAATAGACAATATAGAGAGGAATATAAATGAACTAACGGAGTTGAAAAACACAACACAAAAACTTAGCGAAATATGCACAAGTTTGAATAGCCAAATTGATCAAGCAGAAGAAAGGATATCAGAGGTCGAAGACCTACTTAATGAAATAAAACGAGAAGACAAGAATAGAGAAAAAAGGATAAAAAGGAATGAGCAAAGTCTCCAAAAAATATGGGACTATGTGAAAAGACCTAATTTACATTTGATAGGTGTACCTGAATACGACAAAGAGAATGAATCCAAGCTGGAAAATATTCTTCAGGATACTATTCAGGAAAACTTTCCAAATCTAGCAAAGCAGGTCAATATTCAACCCCAGGTAATACAGAGAACAGCACAAAGATATTCCTCAAGAAGAGCAACCCCAAGGCACATAATTGTTAGATTCACCAGGGCTGACACAAAGGAGAAAATATTAAGGGCAGCCAGAGAGAAAGGTCCGGTTACCCACAAAGGGAAGCCTATTAGACTCACAGCAGATCTCTCATCAGAAACCCTACAAGCCAGAAGAGAGTGGGGGCCAATATTCAACATCCTTAAAGAACAGAACTTTCAGCCCAGAATTTCATATCCTGCCAAACTAAGCTTCACAACTGAAGGAAAAATAAAATCTTTTATGAACAAGCAAGAACTCAGAGATTTTATTACCACCAGGCTAGAGCTTCTGAAAGAAGCATTATACATAGAAAGGAACAACCAGTATTAGCCTTTCTAAAAATATACCAAAAAGTAAAGAGCATCAACATAAAGAAGAATTTACATCAACGAATGGATAAAACAGCCAGTTAACATCAAATGGCAGTAATCCTAAATTTAAATTGACTAAATCCCCCAATCAAAAGATACAGCCAAAACCTAACAATATGCTATATCCAGACCCATTTTACATCCAAAGATACACAAAGACTTAAAACAAAGGGATGGAGAAAGATTTACCAACCAAATGGAGAGCAAAAATAAATAAATAAATAAATAAGCAGGAGTTGCAATTCTTGCATCTGATAAAATAGATTTCAAAGCAACAAAGATATAGTGGTAAAAGGATCAATGCAACAATAAGAGCTAACAATCCTAAGACCCAGATACATAAGACTCATAAAGAGATTTAGACTCAACGAGACAGAAAATTAATAAGGATATCCAGGACTTGAACTCAGATCTGGAACAAGTAAACTCAATAAATATTTATAGAGCTCTCCATTTTAAATACACAAAATATACATTCTCCACCTTAAATACCCAAATTATTGATTGGCCATTATTAATACTCATTTCCCATTCTCTCTCCCTCTTTTTCTTCCTCTTCCTCTCCTTCACTCCTTTTTTTTCTTTCTGCCAAAAAAATAAAAGCAATATGCTCAGTATTATGAGAGCACAGAAGAACAAGTAGGTCAAGAAAGGATTTTCAAGAAAAGGGAAGCAGGCTGGGTAGAAAAGGAAACCAGCAGAAGAACAAACAGGGGCCATGACACAGAGGTTTAAATGAGCTCTGGTAGTTTCATCATTATATGTTTTTGTTAGACACAGTGCTTTTATGTCATTGCCCTTGTCATGATTGTATAATAATTAAATGTTTTTATGAGGTAAGCTCCCTGAAGGCAGAAACCAATTTTATATCCTGTTGACTCACTAGTTTTACAGTTTCTGTCTAAGTACTCGTTAATATTTGTTGAGTGAATGAGGTTGTTGGTCATGACTGGAACGTGGAGTACATGTGAAGGAATGCAGGACATCTGGAGAAGAAGGTGAGGGATAGATACAGATCATGAAAGAACTCACATGGTAAGTTTGGGCTCTATTCCAAGGTAATGGGGAAAGATCAGAGGAACATGATCGGTTTTGTATTTTGGGAAGATAACATATACTTTAGGAAAATGACGAGGCAGGGTAAGTAACATTAGGAGGCCATACAGACTTGTCCCCTTGCGTGAAGCCCAGTTGGCCCCTTTGGCAGCAGGCTCCTTTTGCTTGCACCCTCATGCGTCATTCTTTTACAAGGTTACCAGCTGACCACCACATGGTTACAAGTTCCCCATATCCAGTACAGCCAGGGAAAGAGAACAAAAGTCCCTTATTCCTGATGTAACTTCCCCAATCTCCAACCAGTCAGTACCACAAGCCCAAGAAGCTATTAGCTACAAATTCTCGCCTTGGGATGGAGGCCAGGGACATCTCGGGGTCCTGCATGTGTAGCTAGGCTCAAGGTTTAGCTTATAGTAACCTTTTCCTCACTTTAATAGTAAAAAAACACACCCCTAGTGGAGAATGTATATGCTAAGGATACCCATGATATGTGTTGGAGCAAGTAGAGACTGAGCACATGCTCCAACTGTGGATCCACCTGTGTTTACTGGACCTCACAGTATTTTATAAACATTCACATACAGTGCCCATAAAGGAATTCCTTTTTTTTTTATTAATATCTTAAACTCTTTTATTCCCTACCATAGACATTTTATCTTTTGTTTTCTTTCCGTTTTCTACAGTTTCCAACTTGTACCTGTGTTTAATACTGCTTTAGTCTGCTAAAGACATTAATTGATTGCTTTTCTAAATCTAAGGATTATATAATTTTAGTATAAATATATTATCACATATTTTCTTAAAATTTTGACAAAACCGAATAAGCATGCCTTGTTTTAAGTGCATGCTCCTTCCACTGTTTATAAAATCTAATTTAATGATCAAAAAATTCTTGGTTGTCACTCTTCTGTTACAACAATCTTCCTTCTGAACTGCCACCCAGTTCATACATAATAATATCAAGCAGTAGAAAAACCAAAGAAATTATCTTAATCTTAGTTATTCCTTTTGACACTATAAAATAATGTGAACTTTTAAAAAAATGAAACAATACATCCAAAACTCAATATATTCAAATGAGCTGAGTTCCTTTTTACCTTGGAAGGCCACTGTTCATTCTCCTAAGTATCCTGCCCCTGCTCAAAATACCTTTAAAACTCTTTTGGGATTGCTTCCAAAGCAAGTTGTATACTTTTTGCATTACCTCAAAGTTAGGTGGAAGTTTTCTAAACTTTCTTGTGGTACCAAATAATGGTAACTAAAAATAGTCAAGCTTCTTAATACTATCTTTTTTAAAACAACGTATAATCACAAAGTTAATAGTCTGTGAGACAAATTAACTTTGAATGCAATTCTAAAAGAGTAAACCCAGCAGGTTTTGGGCAAGGGTAGATTGCTGGCATTAGGAAATAACCTTCCAGCATCATCGCTATGCAGAATTAACATTCATTTAGCTGTCTATGTTCTGGCATATTTGTTTAAAGTGAACATTCTGAGAGTTAGTATTCTTTTGAAAAGAAATATCACTCTTAAAAAAATTTATTTCTTTAAAGCATCACTGTCATAACTATGCAAGTGTTTTGTTAGAAAGTAGTTCTCCTTACTGTATCAATAAAGACGACTTTTAAAAACTTGAAAGCAAATAACCAACTTATTTGCCCCCAGGCTTTTTAAAATCATTAACTGAAGATAAAATAATTCAAAATTTCAAAGTACTAAAAAACAAAACAACTCCAAATGTAATAAAAACACATCAAGAAGCAAACTACAATTTCTGAGCTGCACTGTTTATTTTGCTGCTTGAAACCTAAGTGACAGTATGCCACTATAATTATGGGGTTTCGTCTAAATCTTTACTACACTGCAGGTACAGAAATATACGGACACATTTTTGGAGAATTGACATTTTGCAAAATGCAGCGAACATTTTAATTTATAAATGGAAAAGGAAGTGTTCAAAAGGATATGCATTTCAAGTTATTGCAGGTTATTGTGAGAGAATTTCTGCACGTAAAACATGTTTAAATTTAACCAACAGTAGCGTGTCAGTGTATTTAAAATCATGACAAAAATCTTCTCTCTGGTCATGTTGCCCATGACAAATTTCTATGATGTTGTATTTTTAGGGCAAGATGTCAATACAGCATAAATCCCATGGTATTTTGGTTTTCTTCTGGAGATTAAAGCTGTTTTTCTTGGGATAAATGCAGCAGCAAAACACAAACCAGTTGATCAAAAAAGCACTTCTGCCATAACTCCAATAATTTTCAGGACACATCAACCGACAGTAGTTTTGCCATTCCCAGTTCTTTTAAGGATTACATCTCTGCACTGTTGCCTTAAGGATGTCTGTAGAAGCCTGTTCTCTGTTAAGCCAGTGTACTGACTACAGCCTGGTTGAGAGAATTTAGTTGGTTGCTCCATTGATCTAGTGCAGGATATCGTGCACCACCCCTCTGCTGATGATCCAGCTCAAGGAGCTGGTTGACTTGATCAATTCGGCCATGAATAGTGTTATCCAATATGCACTGCACCAGCAAGCTCTCCACATCAGCTACATCTATGTTTAATTCCTTAGAAATATAAGGAATATGTATTCTTGTGTAAGGTTTAATTAATTTTATAAGCACTTGTGCTCTGATGTTTCGCAAAAGCTCTTCAATGTGTTCTCTTATGAAAGGATCATCCATGATGTTGCTGTGATTTGTTTTTAAAACTTTTCAAATTCAGTGATGTCATTATTCTGATAGGCACTTACTAAATTCGTCATTGCTAAAATTTCTGGATCATTTTTGTATGGCTTGGCCTCCTGTGAGTCAAATGGATTTATTCCTGATTTCATAAGTATATTTGCTAAGACCAAATATTTTAAGCAAGTAGTTCATCTCGGACTTCCAGATTCATCATAATTCTTGAAGGCTTCAAAAAAATCAGTGTGTGCCTTTTCAAATTCACCTTCCCTCAAGTGCATTTTACCAGCACATTCTCTGAGAACTCCCATGATCAGTGGATGAGGGATGGCAGACTTGATGTGAAGTGACTGTTCATAGAGTGCTTTAAGTTTTTTGTTATTTTTCTGTGCTGTGTACACTTGAATTTCCAGAGCATATATTTCTAATAACTGTGTACCCTTTTTCAGATCATCTTCGCCATCATCAGTCTGACAGGACTGATGTCACTGGCGTAACATTTTTTGAAGCTTTCCATACTCCTCTCGTTCTAAATATAATTTTCCAAGCTTTGTGTTTGTCTTAAACCACAGTCTATCATTCTTAGCATCTTTCAAAGCTTCCAGAGTTGTTTCATAGAATTCCTGCAGTAAATCCATCTGTTTAGAAGTAGAGATATAATCAAGAATAGAATTAATGGGTTTTTCAGAATAATTTCTTGTGACAGCACTCCGAATATAGGTCAATAGTTGTTTATATCTATTCATCATTTCTGGAAAGTTTGTCAACTTGAAGTTAATCTTAATAATTTGTTTCAGTGCTTTAAATCCCCATTCTCCTTTTTCACCTTCAAGTTCCAAAACCTTTTGGAAACTGCTTAATGCTGCTTTTGGGTCTTCTTATTTTAATGCTTTGGAATTATAGTACTGATTTTCCAAATCCACATTTGGCTCGGAGTTACTATCTTCAGAGTATTCCAGGTCGTAGTCCTCCTCATCATCGCACAGGAAATCATCCTCCATGTCAGACATCTTGGCCGGGAGGGGGCAAGGAATTCCTCGTAAGACACTAGCTGCTATCGCTCCTTTTGAGCAACCCACTCTGCCTGTCAGAGTGTATTTTTGCTTTGCAAAAAACTTTTTTGCTTACTCTTACTTTGGACTTGCTCTTCAAATTTTTTTATTTAAAAAATTTTTTTGTGAAATAGAGACAGGGTCTCCTGATGCTGCCCAGGCTGGTCTTGAACTCCTAGGCTCAAGCAATCTTCCCACCTCCCAAAGTGCTGGGAATACAGGTGTGAACGCCCGCACCTGGCCCAAATTCTTTTGTGCAGCAAAATCATGAACCCAAACCAGCCCACCAACAACATGAAGAATTGTATAGAAGAAGCAAAACGTAGCAATGTTCTAAAAGGTCAAAACACAACCTGAATAGTGTGTGTTTTAGTAAGGGAAAGGAAGCCAGGCTTTTAGGAATTTCAGGTCCCACTCCAGCTGCTGCATGCTCTAGGTGTTTGTTTTGTTTTGTTTTTGTGTGCTTGTTTTGAGACAGCCTCGCTCTATTGCCCAGGCTGGAGTGCAATGGTGCCGTCTCAGCTCACTGCAACCTTGGCCTCCCAGGTTCAACCGATTCTCCTTCAGCCTCCTGAGTAGCTGGGATTACAGGCACCCACCACCATGCCCATATAATTTTTGTACTTTTAGTAGACACAGGGTTTCACCATTTTGGCCAGGCTGGTCTCAAACTCCTGACCTAGTGATCCACCCACCTTAGCCTCCCAAAGTGCTGGAATTACAGGCATGAGCCACCGCGCCTGGCCTGGTTTGTATCTATAATAATAACAACAACAAAAACAACAAATAGCTAACATTTGGTGAGTGTTCATTATGTGCAAAGCACTGGTTTAATCCTTAGAATGTGTACAGAATGGGAAACAGAGCTAAATTTTATTTAAATCTCAAAGTATAGAATGACCCCAGCTGATACCCAAGTTAGGTTATGTAAATGTTTTTATATTCAAAGCTAAATGCCTTACTTCTCATAAAGCCCATGGTCTGACAACCCATGAGTCATTAATTGGTGAAAGATACAGGAAAGACCTTTGGAACAAGACTTAGAAGTGGATCCTAGTTCAGCTCTTAATTAGTGCTGTAATAATGGTGAACCATTAATTCCTTTTTCTCTTACGGTCACACATTCTCAATTTAGAAAGTGAGATGATCACTGAGAAGTCAGCTTTGGGGTCTGCACTACTTCTAGAACACCTCCTTCCAGATTCCTAAAGTTAGTTGTGGTAGCTAGCTTTGAAAATGGCTCCCAGTAGGTCGGGCGTGGTGACTGATGCCTGCAATCCCAGCATTTTGGGAGGCTGAGGCAAGTGGATCACTTGAGGTCTGGAGTTCAAGAGTAGCCTGGCCAACATGGTCAAATCCCGTCTCTACTAAAAATACAAAAATTAGCTGTGTGTGGTGGTGGGAGCCTATAATCCCACCTACTTGGGAGGCTGAGGCAGGAGAATCGATTGAACCTGGGAGGTGGGGATTGCAGTGAGCCAAGATCATGCCACTGCACTCCAGCCTGGGTGACAGAAGGAGAGTCCGTCTCAAAAAAAAAAAAAGCTCCCAGTGTATTCTCATCTTGTGTAGTCCTCTTGCACATTGTCCAGTTTGGTATGTGTGACCAATAGCACGGGGCAGATGTGATGGTATATGACTTCTGATGTTAGGTTATAAAGACTATAGCTTCCACCCTGGGAGCATTCTCTGTGTGTGTCTCTCTCTCTCTCTCTCACCCCTCTTTTCTCCCCCCATTTCTCTAGTCCTCACTCTCATTCTCACTCTGTCTTTCTATCTGGGGTGTTTATACCCACTCATCCCCATTCCCTCTCTTTCCTCACTCGTACATGGACCCTCACAGTCTTTGGAGAGGAGCAAGTGACGAGATCTCTGGTCAACAGACAGTGGTAAACTGAGGCCAACCAACAACATGAGCGAGTTCAGAAGCAGATTATCTGGCTCCATTCAAGCCTTGAGATGACTACCACCTTGTGACAAACTGTACGCCAGAAGGACCCAGGTGATCCACTCCTCAATTCCTAACCCTTAGAAAATGTTAGATAATAAATGTTTGTTTTAGTTTATTTTGAGAAAGGGTCTCCCTCTGTCACCCAGGCTGGGGTACAGTGACATGATCATAGCTCACTGCAGCCTTGAACTCCTGGGCTCAAACGGAGTCGAGCCCACCTCGGCTTCCTGCGTAGCTAGGACTATAGGCTTATGCCACCTGCTGAATTTTGGGGTAATTTGCCACATAATAATAGAAAACTGGCTGGGCCTAGTGGCTCACATTTGTAATCTCAGCACTTTGGGATGTCAAGGCGGACAGATCACTTAAGGCCAGGAGTTTGAGACCAGCCTGGCCAACATGGTGGAACCCCATCTCTACTAAAATATAAAAATTAGCCCAACTTGGTAGTGTGCACCTCTGGTCCCAGATACTTGGGAGGCTGAGGTGGGAGGATGGCTTAAGCCCGGAAGGTGGAGGGTTGCAGTGAGCCAGGATCATGCCACTGCACTCCAGCCTGGGCAACAGAGCAAGACTATGTCTCAAAAAAAAATTAAAAATTAAAAATTAAAAATAATGCATAACTAATACATTAATGAAATTCAAAGATATTCAAGTTCATTTAAACCTATTAGTAGTTGGTAGTAATCTGCAAACAATAATCTATAAAGCTGTTCAGGCAACAGCTATTTACTGAGTTCCTATGTCTTCCTACCACAGCCTGACTATTTTAATTACAGCTGCGATATGATTATTTTTCTGGCCTCGAGCATGGAATTGTACAGATCTGGTTGAAATTGTGGTGTTCATAGTTAGAGAGAATTTAGAAAAGCTACTTAATATCTATATGCCTGTTTCCTCAACTATAAAATCGTGATAATACAGTATTATAATGAATAATCAAGTTCTGAAGTTTATTCTTACACTAAAATGTAATTTGAAAGTCAAGGTATAAACAGCTTTTTTTTTTTTTTGAGACGGAGTTTCGCTCTTGTTACTCAAGCTGGAAAGCACAATCTCGGCTCATCGCAACCTCCGCCTCCTGGGTTCAGGCAATTCTCCTGCCTCAGCCTCCCGAGTAGCTGGGACTACAGGTGCACACCACCATGCCCAGCTAATTTTTATATTTTTAGCAGAGACGGGGTTTCATCTTGTTGACCAGGATGGTCTCGATCTCTTGACCTTGTGATCCACCCGTCTTGGCCTCCCAAAGTGCTGGGATTATAGGCATGAGCCATCGCGCCTGGCCTTAAATAGCTTTTTTAAAATTTAAAGTATCTTGCCCAGACTATAAACAAGACTATTTGTTATTTTACTGATTATTTTTCTCTCCTGTAGTCATTGGAAGATCGTGGTCCTTTGCTGAAATAAATAAACATAGCAATTTAAACAGGGTCAGCTATGTTTTGAATACACTTGCTTTCTCCGCTTGTCATTTATTGCCAATTTTTTGATCATGTGTCAAATTCCTGATAAGGATCTGCATATTACAAATATCCACGAACTTCCTATTTTCTCTCCTAAATTATTAGAAATTCAGATACAATTATTATAATATAACCTTTATTCTAGCAAAATATATGTGTGTGGATACATGTATCCACACACATTTTTCAGTGACAGAGAAGTAGCAACAATAACAAGAAAGATCTGAAACTGTGAGGTTATTTCTCAAATAAATGAAGAGAATATCTAGAATCTTTCCCAGCACTTTTTTTTTTTGACAGAGTCTCACTCTGTCACCGAGGCTGATCACTGCAGCCTCTGCCTCCTAAGTTCAAGTGATTCTTCTTCCTCAGCCTTCCAAGCTGGGACCACAGGCCCACACCACCATGGCTGACTAATTTTTTGTATTTTTAGTAGGGATGGCGGTTCTCACCATGTTGCCCACACTGGTCTCAAACTCCTGAGTAAAGGCAATCCACCTGCCTCAGCCTCCCAAAGAGCTAGGGTTACAGGTGTGAACCCCAAGTAGGGCCAGGACTTCTGATCTATAAATACAACTGTCCTGAATCAACAGTTTACTTCATTTATTGTAATACATTAATAATTCAAAGACGTGATTGCCACTGAAAAGTATAGTGGTTGGGAAGGGAAAAAAGTATTTTTCAAAGGAAGTTATTGGCTGGGTGAGGTGGCTCACACCTATAATCTCAGCACTTTGACAGGCAATGGTAGGTGGATTGCCTGAGTTTGAGACCAGCCTAGGCAACATGATGAAGCCCCCGTCTCCACAAAAAACATGCAAAAAAATTAGCCAGGCATGGTGTTGGTGCCTACAGTCCCAGCTACTTGGGAGGCTGGGGTGGGAGGATCACGGAGCCCAGGAGGTCAAGGCTGCAGTGAGTCATGATTGTGCTTGCACTCCATCCTGGGTAACAGACTGAGACTTTATCTCAAAAAAAAAACAAAACAGAAAACCCAGTTATTTACTGTGAGGAGGGGCAGAATATGCCACACCAAAATATGTCACTTTAGTGTCAGGATTATTTTGAGCTACTTGAAAAACAGCAGATGCAAGAAGGGCATCCTGATCTCTTTTCTTCCTGAAAACAGGAAATAAGAACTCCCACATGAAAGATGCCCTCCTTGTACCAAAGAGAAGAAACATTGTTCAATGGGACATCATAGCTGAGAGAATTCAGCACAAGTAGACCTTGGCAAAATAATTATTATTTTGGCAGGTGCCTGTAATCCCAGCTACTCGGGAGGCCGAGGCAGGAGAATTCTTCAACTCAGGAGGTGGAGGTTTCAGTGAGCTGAGATCATGCCACTGCACTCAAGCCCGGGCAAGACTCTGTCTCAGAAAAAATAATAATAATAAAGAAAATATATTATTAATTATTGTTTGTAGCATCCACACATAATTTAGTCACTTTTCCACAACTGCCCCTCATTTTATTTATTTATTTATTTGTTTTAAGAGATGGGGTTTCACCATGTTGGCTGGGCTGGTCTTGAACTCCTGACCTTAGGTGATCTACCCACCTCGGCCTCCCAAAGTGCTGGGATTATAGGTGTGAGCCACCGAGCCCAGCCTCATTATTAATTTAATATA